GGAATGCTGCAGGAACCTATAGATTCAAACCTTTTGTTTTTTCTTCTGACTTGGTGTCTGATATGGGTGGCATGTAACGCATAGGAGCTCACCTATTGCACCAAGAGCACATTGGTAGAATTTCACTGTCCTCTTCTGGCAGCAACGGCGTCAAGGTAGTTCCATCATGTCCATCTCTGATTCAGAAGACTCGACAACACTTGATGGAGAGTTTGAATCTATAGGTTCCTGCAGCATTCCCTAAAGTTCCGATGAGCAGGGCACATTTTACTTGTGCACTACTTGTGAATTTGTGGCTTTCATGTAGTCTACATGCTCATTCAGAGCTGTTGCACTTACCTGAACTTTATACGTCACTGGCCCTGACCTTGTGACAACTATGCTTCTTACCCATGCAGGGCTTTTTCAGTGATTCTTGCACCAATCTTTATTCCATGCATCAAACTGTTTCTCTTGCTTGGTGGAGTCTTGGTCTTGCCAGTATTGGTGCACCTGATGCCAGGTCCAGGAATATCAGACTTATCCTGGTGCGGAGTCTTTTACCCATTAGCAACTTTGGTGCTATCCCTGTAATCGCATGTAGGGTGGTTCTGTAACCAAATAAGAACTGAGACAGCTTGGTGTCTAGTGAGGCAGTAGGCGGTTTCTTCAAGCCAGCCTTCAAAATTTAGACTACTCTTTCTGGCTGGCCATTGGATGATGGCTAGTATGGAGCTGACTTTGTATGTCAAATCCAATTTGACTTGAAGAAATAATGAGACTCTCTGGCAAATGATGGCCCATTATCTGTGACCAACACTTTCAGACTCCGTGCATTGAAAAAGATGTGTGCAGTTTTTCTATCATTGTCTCTGTGTTTGACTAATGCACCCTATGCACATCTAATCATTTTGAGTGGGCGTCCAAATGACTAAGAACATTGAACCCACGAAAGAGCTAGCATTGTCGAAGTGCAACTGAGTGCAAAGTTTACTCGGCCATAAACCGTAGATATGGGGGAGCTGCTGGTACCATGAGCTGGTGTCTCCAGTCCAAAAAAAGTTCCAATTCTAATTGTGACGGCCTTTTAGTTTCCTCCATTAATAACCAACTGTTTCAGTTTTGAAAGGACTGAATCTTTGTGTCCAAACTCTGATAATGTCTGCTGTGACTGAGAACCTATCCAGAAAATTTAATATCTTTACAGACTGTTCCATTGGGTCTACTACCGATGGTGTATCTGCTAATGAGAGGCACTCAAAGCATCCACATTTGCTACTTGGCGTCCAAGATAGTGTTCTAACTTGTAATTATAAGTACTTAGTATTAGGCTGCTTTCAGCTGTGGGCTCTAAAGCAATGGGCCTTGTCCTCTTTAAGCAGGCCAAGTCGGGGTTTGTGGTCCATGATTATCACAAATTTTCATCCATAAAGGTATTGATGTAACTTGCTGATTCCAAATATGACTGACAATCCTTATTTTTCTATGTAGGCATATTTAAGCTCTGCATTAGCCAAAGTCCTAAATGCATACACTATCGGACATTCTTCACCATTGGGCCACATATGAGCTAATACCATTCTGTACAGGGAGGCATCGCATACCAATACCAGATCTTTCTTGGGTTCATAGTGTGCCAATACCTTAGAGGATGATAACTATTTCTTTATTTCATTGAAAGTTAGGGCTTGTTTGTGCAACTACTTCCAAGGCTGACCTTTTTTTTTAGGAGCTGATGCAAAGGTGCCAGGATGGAAGTCACGTTATGCACGAAATTTCCACATAATTTACCAGTTCCTGGGCAGTCATGGAGCCAGGGCACCTTTGATCGCCCTTACTTTATCTTCCAATGGCTATAACCTGGACTTGTCAATTCTATAGCCCAAGTTGGGGAGGCGGGGGTGCCTGGGACACACATTTTACCCTTCTTAGACGTAAGTCTGCCTTGGAGAAACACTGTAGACTATATCCAAGTTCTCTGAGTGTACCTTATTAGTTTTCCCTGTAATTAGTATGTCATCGAGGTAAGTGGTGATCTGAGGTAGATCTTAAAGTTCTCCATTGTCTGATGAAAATTAGCACAGCCTAACAATACCCCAAATGGCAGTCTTGTATATTGAAACATTTATATTGTAATTAAACATGGTGCACTCCGGCTTTGTGAATGGCAGCACATCTTTCACCCCCAACCTCTGCCCCAACTTCCCTCTGGAATGGGCTATGGGCCAACCTCGAGTTCCTCTGATCAGGACATGTCCTGAGTGAGGCTCCACAATTGCCTGCATCATGTGGCATTCCCCAAGCTCAGTCAGACCGGCAAGCATATCCACTTCCTTTACAATATCCTGCAACTCATATGCTCCACTTGCCGCATTTTCCAATGATAAAGCCAGTTGTTATGCCTGTTTGAACCATAAGCCCATAAGACACAGGAGCAGAAATTATGCCGTTCAGCCCATTGAGTCTGCTCTGCCATTCAATCATGTCTGATAAGTTTCTCAACCCCATTCTCCTGCTTTCTCCCTGTAATCTTTGATCCCCTTGACAATCATGAACCTATCTATAATACCATATGACCTAGGTCTTGAAGTCCAGTCGTGCTTCAGCTGGCAGGCATTCGGTGGGGGAGATATTGCACAAATATTCTGCATCAGTTTTACTGTGGAGAAGGGTATGGAAGAGAACATGGGTAAATAAATGGCGACATTTTGAAAAATGTCCATATTACAGAGGTGCTGGGTGCCTTAAAATGCATAAAGGTGGATAAGTCCCCAGGACCTAATCAGGTGTACCCTTGAACTCTGTGGGAAGCTAGGGAAAGGATTGCTGAGCCCCTGGCTGAGATATTTATATCATCAGTAGCCACAGCTGAGGTGCTGGAAGACAGGAGGTTGGCTAATGTGGTGCCACTATTTGAGAAAGGTGGTAAGGAAAAGCCAAGGAACTACAGACTGGTGAGCCTGATGTTGGGAGCACGTCGTTGGAAGGAATCCTGAGGGATAACATTTACATGTATTTGGAAAGGCAAGGACTGATTAGGGATAGTCAACATGGCTTTGCATGAGGGAAATCATGTCTCACTAACTTGGTTGAGGTTTTTGAAGAAGTAATGAAGAGGGTTGATGAGGGCAGAGCGGTGGATGTGATCTATATGGACTTTAGCAAGGCGTTTGACAAGATTCTGCATGGTAGACTGTTAGCAAGGTTCAGTCACATGGAATGCAAGGAGAACTAGCTATTTGGATACAGAACTGGCTCTAAGGTAGAAGACAGGGTGGTGATGAAGGGTTGCTTTTCAGACTGGAGGCTTGTGACCAGCGGTGTGCCACAAGGATCATGCTAGGTCCACTGCTTCGTGTCATTGTTATAAAATGATTTGGATGTGAACATAGGAGGTATGCTTAGTAAGTTTGCAGATGACACAAAAATTAGAGGTGTAGTGGACAGCGAAAAAGGTTACCTCAGTACAACAGGATCTTGATCATATGGGCCAATGGACCATGGAGTGGCAGTTGGAGTTTAATTTAGATAAATGTGAGGTGCTGCATTTTGGAAAGGCAAATCAGGGCAGGATTTATACACTTAATGGTAAGGTCCTGGGGAATGTTGCTGAACAAAGAGACCTTGGCATACAGGTGCATAGTTCCGTCAAAGTAGAGTCGCAGGTAGACAAGATAGTGAAGAAGGCATTGGCATGATTGCCTTTATTAGTCAGTGCGTTGAGTATAGGAGTTGGGAGGTCATGTTGCAACTGTGCAGGACATTGGTTAGGCCACTATTAGAATACGGCGTGCAATTCTGGTCTCCCTGCTTTAGGAAGGATGTTGTGAAACTTCAAAGGGTTCGGAAAAGATTTACAAGATTTGCCAGGGCTGGAGGGTTTGAGCTATAGGGAAAGGCTGAATAGGTTGGGGCTATTTTCCCTGGAGCATTGGATGCTGAGAGGTAACCTTACAGAGGTTTATAAAATCATGAGGAGCATGGAATGGATAAATAGACAAGGTCTTTCCCCTGGGGTGGGGGTACCCAAAAGTGGAGGGCATAGGTTTAAGGTGAGAGGGGAAAGATTTAAAAGGGACCTAAGGGACAACTTTTTCATGCAGAGGGTGTTGCGTGTATGGAATGAGCTGCCACAGGAAGTGGTGGAGGCTGGTATAATTACAACATTTAAAAGGCATTTGGATGGGTGTATGAATAGGAAGGGTTTAGAGGGATATGGGCCAAATGCTGGCAAATGGGACTAGATTAATTTGGGATATCTGGTTGGAGTGAATGAGTTGGACCGAAGTGTCTGTTTTCATGCTGTACGTCTCTATGATTCTATATAAATGCCCCATAATAGCGTTTCCTAACAATTAATCGTTTTCGACTACTTTGGATTATTTCTTTGCTGGTCATCGTGCAGAGAAATTTAGCATTGGTTAGTATGAAATAATTTGCCAGTCTGCTGAGCATGCGTTAATTTGGCCAGCACTCATTTGACAAAGGAAGAAGCAAAAGCTGAGCTGTTTTGCTCATATACCCTTTCCCACCAGTGCCCCCCCATCCACAGCACCACACACAGAGAAACGCACAAACTTTGAATGGACCTGACATTGCATCTCTCTGCCATAGTTAGAGACACTCAACCAGTTCTTTGATATCTTTTTAATCACCCTGTTCAGGCATGTAATGATACACCTGCAGTGGAGGCGGGACTTGAACCCAGACCTCTGGCTCAGAGTAAGGGCCCAACTATTGCACTACAAGATCTTCTACAACTTCTTATATATGGATCCCTCTATAAAATTAACGTCAGCTGCTTTTAACCTCAACTCAAGCATGCAAATGTATGCACTCAATTAACACAGCACCATCGACATTAGCAACGTATGTATTATGCTATTGTTGCTGAAGGCACTGGCGTGTCTGTAATTTGTTACAATGGGACAAATTGCAATTCCTTGCAATGTCGCACTGGTTAGTGCAGTCAGAACAGATAAGTGAGACTAACCATTCATTCAGTTCAAGTACTTCATGTGCTTTGAAAACTTGAATTAGATTTGAGAGACGAGCTGTGCCATGATTATTGGTTGCTCCATTGACTAATTCATGCATTTTAAAAGCTGCAGTTGGCTGCAGCCATTTTGAGAAAAATTAAAAGTTCTACGATATCCCTAGTTATCTAGACATATGTGAAAAGAATGGCAATCTGACCAAAATCTCAGATGGCATCGGAAAGAAGGGAGGAAGTATTGCCAGTCAGGGCTAGATGCATTTCAGTCAGTGAATGTAGCAAAAGTTCTAAGTTTTTCATTGAAAGCTTTATTAAAGTTCCACTCTAATTTTTCATGGACTTTGCTCAACAAGCATGACAGCATTTGTAGATTTTTTTTAAATGTTCCATGAATAACTACAATAATGATTCCTGAGCCATAATTGTGCTTAAAATTGACCTCCACAGCATTGGCAAATAGGCACTGCATGATACTGGTTATTTCATGGAATCTGGTGAGAACTCGCCAGTTGGATACAAAAATGGCTTGGCAGTAGGAGACAGAGGGTGGTGGTAGAGAGTTATTGTTCAGGCTGGAGGCTTGTGACCAGCAGTGTGCCCTAAGGATTGGTGATGGGTCCACTGTTGTTTTGTCATTCATACAAACAATTTGGATGAGAATATAGGAGGCATAGTTTATAAGTTTGGAGATGACTCTGAAATTGGTGGTATAGTGGACAGTGAAGAAGGTAATCTAAGAGTGCAATGGGATCTTGAACAAGTGGGCAAAGGAATGGCAGATAGAGTTTAATTCAGATAAATGTGAGGTGTTACATTTTGATAAGACAAACCAGGGCAGGACTTATGTAGTTAATTTGATTTGATTTATTGTCACGTGTACCTAGTACAGTGAAAAGCTTTGTTTGCGAGCAGTACAGGCAGATCATAGTAAGCAAGGACGTACAGATCATAGGGTGAAGATAAACATGAACAGAGTGAGGCATTCTGTTTATACCGCACAGGACATGTGCAAAGCAAAATCAACATTATTTGAAGTTGGCGAGTCCGTTCATCAGTCTAACGGCAGGGAAGAAGCTGTTCTTGAACCTGTTGGTGCGTGTTCAAGCTTCTATGACTTCTACCTGACGGAAGAGGTTGTAGGAGTGCATTACCGGGGTTGGATGGGTCTTTGTTCGCAGCCTTTCTGTGGCAACAAGAGATGTAAATGCAGTCTATGGATGGAAGGTTGGCTTCCTTGATGGTCTGGGCTGGCCAGGGCCCTGATGAGTGTTATTGAAGAGAGAGACCTAGGGGTTCAGGTATATAGTTGCTTGAAAGTGGCATCACAGGTAGACAGGATAATGAAGAAAAACCATTCGGCACACTTATCTTCATCATTGAAGAACATTGAACACAGGGATTAGGGCATCATGTTACAGCTGTACAAGAAATTGGTAAGGCCCCATCTGGTATACTGCTTACAATTCTGGTTGCCCTACTATAGGAAGGATGTTATTAAACTGTAAACCATGCAAAAAAGATCTACAAGGATATAACTGAGACAGAAGGATTTGAGTTATAAGGAGAGGCTAGATAGGCTGGGACTCATTCCCTGGAGCATAGGAGGCTGAAGGGTGACTTCAGAGAGGTTTATAAAGTCATGAGGTGCTATACGACTCTATTTCAAGGAACTACAATTAGAGTAGTTCTCAATGTACTCTTTGTGAACCAGGGTTTTGAACATTTTAAAATCTACGAATATTAGCATCTTTATGTTGATACATGTACAGTCCCCACAATCAGTTTTCAATGCTTTTTCTTGGAGAATATTATTTCATTCGGTGTTACATTGTACAGAAGCAAGATCAGAAATTTAATTTGAAATGCTGCAGGTGGCAATGAAAGTTACATTTAGCTAACCTTTACCCAAGAATATAACAAAAGTGAAATCTTTACAAGCATGAATTCTTAATCTTTTTCCATCTCTTGATTTTTCTTTCCAGACCAAACCTGCAGCAATTGACAGATAGCATGAAGTCAATGGGAGCTGACTATATAATTACAGAGGAGGCACTCAGAAAACCAGACATGGAAGAATTATTCAAGGTAGCTTTTGGAGAAGTTTTAATTTCTGTTGCCATTCCACTCACCAATCAACAGTTGTATGTTTGGATATGTCACAGAAGAACAAGACTGTGATTTTTGCCTGAGCAATTTTTTCTTTCCCTGATATTTCTGCAACTCATGGTTTTAGTTTGATGGACTAAATTGTAGAGTACAGGCAGGCATTCACGTTGTACCCGGTTTCGTTTTTTGAACTGATAGTTACAAGTTTGAGCTCGCAAAGGAGGACTTGACAACATTAGAACCAACTAGTCAGTAAACAAATATAAGAAAAGCTGGTAGGAAAAATATGTATTAGGAAATTGAAACAAGAGCATAGAGAGGAGTGATTAAATTTGTAGTGGCATCATACAAACTCATTATAGTTTTAAGAGTTTTACTCAAGTTTGTAAGAAGTCATTACTTGTCTTAAACGTTTCTGCTTATCTAAAATGAGAGAATGTGCTATTTTCCTCTGATCTGGATTGGTAAGATTTCAGTTATAGTTAGCATAGCCAAGAACGTTACAAATTTCGGTTTTCTGATATTTGCTTCTGTAGTTCAGTCATACACAAGTTTCTGTAAGCAATCAGAGCTTTTAACTTCAGTGAAAATTGATCATGTTCAATTGCTCATTCTACCCCAGGGTGATTGGAAGTGGAGTTATGTCACCTGTACACTTCGTGACATGGCTGAACAAGATGCTTATTATTCATGTGCTTCTACAACCTGTTCAAAGGTCGACTAAACAAATACATGGTGAAGTGAGGCCTAATTAAACAATCGTCACCTCTTAGTTCAATCAGCACAACTTACCTATACAAAATAAAGAATGCGCCATCCTTCTTCCTGTTTTAGTTCACTTGAATTTTTTTTGTTTTAGTCCTGCATTTCTGATTCCTGTGAGCCTATCTAAAGTTTTACAGGTTACTGTTTTAAAAAGCTGGCTGCCATCCCAGGCTTCTCATTTTAAAAAGTTTCTGCCTGTCTTTACAGATAAGAGGACTTGATGACATTTCCACATATAGAATATCTCTTCAGTTATCTGCACAACAGTCTATTTCCCATCTCATTCCCTCCTCAGACATTAGTCATTAGTTGAACGTTAAACATCTGAAATGCATGTGCTTGCACACAAACCAGAGAGAGAACAGGCACAAAAGAGGTGGTAAGCTGTAAAACATATAAAAGTGTGCATTAATTCCTACTATTCTGACCACAGCATGAACACCCTTAGCATCCCATTGAATGTTGTTTGATAAACAGAACTTCAGATACTTTTCTTCCTGCAACCCAAATGTGATAGGCACCACATCTTCATATCAGTCTCCTTACCTCAAACTTCCTCTAGTTCTACAGCCTTCCAAAATTTCAAGCAGATATATAACAGGCTTGATTTAGTTTACTACTCAAAAAAACTTGTATTGAAACATTCAGTGCTTCAAGACCTGCATTCAGTTAGATCACAATTGAGGAGGGGAACTATGGTCCCTTCACCCCCCTGTGCCACCACGTGAACGAATTCTACACACGCCTCGATGTCGAGCTCTTTCTCGGCTGCCTCCACCTCCACGCCTATTGCTTTGAAACAGAATCCAACCCACCCTCTGACACCCCCTTCTGCCTGCTTCTGCCTCACTGAGCTCCTCTTACCTTGACTCCATTCTTTCACCTTTGGTCCAGGAACTTCCCATCTACGTTTGTGATACAACCCACGCCCTCAACCTTTTCCAAAACTTTCAATTCCCCGGCCCCCAACACCTCATCTTCACCATGGACGTTCAGTCCCTATACACCTGCATCCCCACAAGGATGGCCTAAAAGCCCTCCGCCTCTTGCTGTCCCGTAGATCTACGCAGCCCCCCTCCACCAACACTCTCATTCGCTTGGCGGAACCGGTCCTCACCCTCAATAACTTGTCCTTTGATTCCTCCCACTTCCTACAAAACAAAAAGGTGGCTGTGGGCACTCGCGTGGGCCTGAGCTACACCTGCCTCTTTGTAGGAATCGTGGAACAGTACGTCTTCAACAACTACACCTGCACCAGCCCTCACCTCTTTCTCCGTTATATTGATTACTGTATCGGTGCTGCCTTGTGCTCCCACGAGGAGCTCGAGCAGTTCATCAACTTTGCCAACACCTTCCACCACGCCCTCAAATTCACCTGGATCATTTCTGACACCTCCCTCCCTTTCCTGGACCCCTCTGTTTCCATCTCCAGCAATTGACTCACCATTGATATTCATTTCAAACCTGCTGACTCCCACAATTACCTTGACTTACACCTCTTCTCACCCACCCTCCTCTAAAAATGCTGTCCCATACTCTCAATTTCTCTGCCTCCACTGCATCTGCTCCGAGGATGAAGCATTCAACTCTAGGACTTCCCAGATATCCTCCCACTTCAGCGACCTTAGTTTCCCCTCCTTTATTATTAAGGATGCCCTCAACCGCATCACCCCTATTTCCCACATTTTTGCCCTCAAACCCTTTCCCGCCAACAACAATAAGAATAGAGTCCCCTCTGTTCTCAAATACCACCCCACCAATCTCCGAATACAATGCATCATCCTCCAACATTTCCACCACCTACAACTGGACACCACCACAAAGAATATTTCCCTCCTTACCCTGTCCGCTTTCCACAGGGACCATTTGCTCTGTGACTCCCTTGTCAGCTCCGCACTCCCCACCAACCCCTCTGCCTCACCCAGCAGGAGATGCTACACCTGCCCCCACACCTCCCCTCTCACCTCTGTCCAAGGCCCCAAGCAATCCTTCAGAATCCAGCACAGATTCACCTGCATTTCATCTTACCTCATCTCAGTATCCATTGCTCCCAATGTGGTCTCCTCTATATCGGGGGAGACCAAACGCAGACTCGGGGACAGGTTTGCAGGCCATCTGTGCTGTGCACGCACCAACCAGCCTGGCCTTCCGGTTGCCGTCCACTTTAACTCCCTCTCCCACTCCCCTTGTGACATATGCATCCTCGGCCTTCTGTACTGTCAGAGTGAGGCCAAATGCAAACTGGAGGAACAACACTTCGTATTTCGCCTTGGGAGTTTACAGCCCAATGGTCTGAATATTGACTTCAGCGTCAAAATCTCTCCACTGGCTGTCTTCCCACTCACCTATCCGCTCCACTCTTCCTATTGACCAACCACAATAAGCCCCTATCTGTAGTCGCCTATCTCCATCTCATCACCTCCCCGCACCACCACCACCACACCACCACCGCTCTCTTCCCCCCCCCCCCCCCCCCCACAAACCCCGCAACTCCCACCAATTTATTTCTGGCGTTCCCTGTCCCTCTCGTGAAGAAGGGTTCTGATCCGAAACATTGACATTCCTGCTTCTTGGAGGCTGTCTGACCTGCTGTGCTTTTCCAGCTCCACAATTTTTTTATTTTATTTTAACTAGCACTCTTTATAAACCAGCAAAAATTATTGCTCAAATACTACAAAGTTTACTGTATTATTCTGTCCAATTAATATAGTTGTTTAATTTATTTACCTCAATGTAAATGTTTGTTCAATTGGATGGCTGCACAAAATATCAATAGTTGATTCAATTTCAAGTCAAGTACCGCTATGTCTGAGTAGTCAGTTGAGGGTGCAAGTGAGAAGCCTCTCTGCCAGAGTTTTTAATTAAGGCAAAGTTTCATTATTAAGTAAGTGTAATTAAAGGTTAACGGTGATGTGTATACCCTCTGCGTTTCTATTGTGTGCTTTTACATTGATTATCCAGATTACTTGATCATCTGGCAAACTCCTGGTTCCATAGGTGCTGGATAAAAAAACTTTACTGTCCTAACATAGTGTGTTAGGAAAAAAACACTAAATCTGCTGCTATAACATCCTTATTAAGATGTAGTTGGGGTATTTTCCATTCCATTAAAAATATGTTCATGACTATAATCATGTACAATCCTAAGCTTTTTAACTTAAATTTTAAGAAAATTATTTAAACTTCATGGACCAATATTTGTTATTAAAAATTGCTTAAAAATACTGACAGGTGAATGGATCTTTGTATGTTTCCCAAACTCCATTATCTGGGTTATGCAATATTTCACGCTGTCCTACTGTGAACTTTGAGTAAATAGGGCAAATTATTATCTCTCAGCAGCTTAGCACAACAAAGAAAGCATGCTGGATAGCTGCTGCATAATAAATTAATTTCATGAAAAATAGGCATGCCCAAGCCAAAAGTGCAGTACAGCTTCGTTTCACTTCTTCCATCCTTTTGTCCAAAGGTGAAACTAGCACTTTAGTAGCTGAGTAACAGGATTCTGTTGCAAGTATCATACCAAGATTTGAGCACAGAAATCTAGGCATCCATTCCATTGTAATACTGAGGGAGATGCACTGCTGGAGGTGCCAATTATCTGCTTGAAATTTCAGAAGGTTGTAGAACTGGAGGAAGTTAGAGACGAGGAGGCTGATATGAAGATATGGTGTGTTTCACACTTGGGCTGCAGGAGGATAAGTACATGAAGTTCTGTTCATCAAACAACATTCAATGGGATGCTAAGTGTGTTCATGCTAAGTGTGGTCAGGATAGTAGTAATTAATGCACCCTTCTGTTTGCTTTACAGCTTGCCACCCTGTTTCTATCTGTTCTCTATCTAGTTTGTGTGCAGAGATATTAAATTGAAGTCCATCTACCTGCTTAAGTGGATGTGAAGGTCCCTGTAGCACTATTACGAAGATGGGTAGGGGACTTATCCCTGATTGATTAGCCAACATTTATCACTTAATCAACGTCAGAAAAAGCAGATTACATGGTTATTATCTGCATTGCAGTAATTAAGATCTTGTGTTCGTATTGACTGCTGCATTTCCTACAAAAATGAGTGCACCTCAAAGTACATAATGAGCTGTCAAGAGACATCCAGTAAAAAGTAATAAATTGACAAGGTGCAGCACACACGACTGCTAGATAAGGTAAGAGCACATGGCATTAGGGGCAAGGTACTGGTATGGCTAGAGGATTGCTGA